TCCTCTTTCTTCTCTTCTCCCTTTGCCTCTCATTAAAGCACATGCACATTTCCTAAGAGTATATTCTCTCAGCTCTAGGCTCTGTCTTCTGGAGCTCCTACACACTCTAGAATTTTCAGATGATCCCTAAATCTGGTCTCTAGGGTCAAACTGGCCTGTACTTCCATAGGCCCACTAGACATTATTTCTTTAATTGTGCCCCCAAACTCAAATAATGTGGAACCTAAATATCACCTTCTCCCAGCATGCCACCCTAAATCAATAACTTTTATTTTTTTTGTTTTTGAGTCAGGGTTTCTCTGTGGAGCCCTGGACTCATGCTGTAGGCCAAAGCTAGTCTCAACTCAGAGCTCCACCTGCCTCTGCCTCCCTGAGTGCTGGGATCACAGGCGTGCATGGCCATGCCTGGCTCAATAACTCTTACCTGACTTATCTTTGTTATTGTCACTACCCTTTCCCTAGAGCTGCAGGCTGAGAACCCCAGAGTTACTATCAAGCCTTCCTGTATCTAATCACTTGTCTTGGAAAATTAACCTGTCCCTAGAGTCAGAGGCATTAAAGCAGACTTTTCATTCTGAATGTCTCTGTGATTCACTGTAAGAACAGTCTTCCTAAACAAAATATTAACCATATCACTGTTCTGTTCAATAACACTTTTTTTTCTGCTTTATAGCCTTCATATCTCACACAGTGCAGTGTCCTAACATAAAATGTAAGCTTTATTAAAAGCTTGAGCTTTTGGTCTCCCAAGAGTGTGTTTGCTTGAATTTCACACTAAACACTTTCTATTTGTTTGTTAGTTTGTTTTTGAGACAGGGTTTCTCTGTGTAGCCTTGCTGTCCTGCTTTGTAGACCAGGCTGGCCTCAAACTCACAGGGATTCACCTGCCTCAGCCTCCCTGAGTTCTGGGATTACAGGCACGCACCACCATGTCTGGCTCTACACATTTTTTTTTTTTTTTTAGATTTATTTATTACATATACAGTGTTCTGCCTGCATGACAGAAGAGGGCACCAGAACTCATTATAGATAGTTGTGAGCCACCATGTGGTTGCTGGGAATTGAACTTAGGACCTCTAGAAGAGGAGCTGGTGCTCTTAACCTCTGAGTCATCTCTCTAGGCCCCAGCCAAACACTTTTTAAAGTAGCAAACAACTGAGTGAGAAGCTAAATGGGTCTGGAATTAAATCTAGTCCTATTTCAGCCAACAGGAATTGTCCAGATCTTGTTCCTACTTAAGATACAGTAAGTTGGTTATTGGGTGAGCCAAAGAAATCCACTTACATACTTTTATCTTTACTATTTTACTTACTTTGTATGTTAAGGCCAAAGTCAATGTTGGGTATCTTCTTGGTTACTCACCACCTTATTTTTTGGGATAACATCTCTCACTGGAGCTAGACTGGTCAGTGAGCTCCAAAATCTTTTCTCTCAACACCCACTTCACCTCCCAGTGTGGGGGTTCTAGATGCACGCCCGATGCATCTGGCTTTTCACCTGGGTGCTGGGATCCACCATCAGGTTCTTACGTTTGTGGGGAAAGTCACTTTCCCAACTGAGCTAGCTCCCCAGCTCCATTTGAATACATTAAAAATTATTTTTAGATTTACTTGTGTATGAGTGTTTTGCTTGCATATATGTATGTGTACCGTGTGTGCCTGGTACCCATGGAGGTCAGCAGAGGGCATCAGATCCCCTGGAACCTGAGTTTGGATGGTTGTGAACAACTTTGTGGGTTTGGGGAACTGAACCCAGTTCTCTAGAAGAACATCAGGGGCTCTTAACCACTGAGCCATCTTTCCAGCAACTCTCCCCGGGTTGAATACATTTAAATGAGAGCATATCTGTCACAAAAATGGGCAGAACAGATTGCAAGCCACCTATATTAGGAATCAGCCTCTATTGGGCTGACAGTGACTCCACCCATGCAGAAAGGATATCCCAACAGCCATGTAGTTCATGGCTTCTGATGGCAGTTCAGCTAAGAGATAAGTGTACCTTCCTCCAGCTTTCTTCCAATACTTTCCTCTTGGCCCAGTTAACAAGGGGATAATTATATGACATCAGCCATCATGGGGTGGCGGGAACATAAGGCGGCCTCATAGTACCATATAATGTGGCACCAAGTTTCTGAATCACCAGCCACAGGTGCCCCGCCCCCCCCCCCCATCCCTGCTTCATAAAAGCCGCCTTATCTACTGTTTCTGTTGACACAGTGACTGTGCTAAGGGCACTTTCCTTTGCTCTTCTTAGTGTTTGCTCTCTGTCCGGGTGGGAACCCCTCTGCAGGAGCCTGTAAATGGATTCTTATGGTGCAAGGGTGGCACCAGGCACCAGGCCATGCTTCTTTCTTCAGGCAGGCTGACCTCGGAGACAGCAGCATATCTGATTGCTAAGCCAACACCAACCTAGGATACTTCCCAAGCTGAGTCCCCCTTCCTAGGCAAACAACTAACACCTGCCTGTCACCAAGCCAATACTAAGCCTGGGCATTATCAGACCTGGGACTGGAGCTGCCTTCCTCCCCAAAACAGCAGCCTCTATACCTCCCCTCAAACCCTCTGAAGTAGGAGGATCAATGGCACCCAGTGTCACTTGTCAAGATACAGCGAATCCCTTGATGGACCACCGAGCATGGACAGATGGACAGTCCACTGTGGATGCGTCATAATGGTCCTGAAACATGGCCTTTTATAAAGCTGGCAACCATTTGATGAGCAACTACTTTCTTTTTAAAATTGTGCTGGTTGCACTTGGGAACCACAGTATCCTTGAGGCTAGAACACTTATGACATACACAAGGCCAAGGGTGATGCAAAAGGGCACTTTATCAAGTACTACACTCTGGGGTATAGCCAATAGGCCCTGTGAGGTTATGAGGGCTTTCAAATAGCTCTTACAGAGGACAGGGTTTGGATAGGAAGAAAATAGCAGCATTTTAAAAATAAATGGGGGTCTGCTCTACTGACACCTTTCAAACAATTGGGTTTTTTGTTTGTTTGTTTTTTGCTTTTTTTTTAGAACCTCTTAGGGGACTGGAGAGATGGCTCAGCAATTAAGAGTACTGATTGCCCTTCCAAAGGATCTGGGTTCAATTCCCAACACCCACATAGCAGCTCACAACTGTCTGTAACTCCAAGATCTGACACCCTCAAACATACATTCAGGCAAAACACCAATGCACATAAAATAGAAATAAATAACTTTACCAGATAAGCTAGGGTCAGATGGAAGAGGAGGAGGACCTCCCCTATCCGTGGACTTGGAGAGGGGCATAGGAGGAGATGAGAGAGGAAGGGTGGGATTGGGAAGGGAGGAGGAAGGGGGTTACAGCTGGGATACAAAGTTAATAAATTGTAATTAATATAAAAAATAAAAATTAAAAAAAGAACTTTTTAGCCTTAGCCTTGAGATGAAACAAAGCGCTAGGCCAGGGAAAGGTGGCTTTGTAATGTGTTTTTCACAAGTCTTTCTTTGAAAGAAAAACAGATCTGAAGGAATCCTAGCTAGACCACTGAGGTAGCTTAGTAAGTAAAGTCATTTGCCATGAAGGCCAGAGAATCTGAGCCTGGTCCCCAGAACCCCCAAGTGGAAGGAGAGAACTGACTCCCGAAAGCCCTGACTTCCACACACTTGCCAGTGTACATCGTACATGCACATCTGCACGCACGCACACACACATATGCACACACACATACACACACAGTAGTAATAGTAAGAATAAATTCCGTAAAAGAGAATTTGGAAAGCTGACAGGGATAGGCCCTATGAAGGCTACCTGAATGTGACGAGTCAGAGTCTGAATGTGCAGAGAGTGAGAAATCTTGGAACACTTCGTCCTAAATGGGATGTCTTCATCAAATCCCTCTCCCTGAGGCTCAAGGGTCTAAGCAGAAGAGGAGGCAGAAAGATTCTAAGGACCAGAGGTGATGCATGACTCCAAGGGAACAGTGTCTTCTAGACACAACATGGCTAACACACAAATGAACTCAAATGGTGGCAGCTTGCACAGTTGCTGCACAGGTTCAAGCTAGATGGGGTCCCCGCTCAGAGAGGAGGAAGTAGATGTGGGCTCCAACCCCTAATGAAGAAGCTATCTATAATGGACAACTGTTTGCTAGGGAAATAGTAGTTTTCTCCAATGGAGTCTCACTGAGAAAATCAACCAGGGCAGGCAGGCCCCATACTTAGTAACTTGCCAACACAAGATGAAGTAAATGCTATTTTTGTAGACCTTTTGTTTCACGTTGCTTTATTTGGGCATTTTTTTAAATCCTATTGGTCTTTGGCTTGTATATTTTTGTTTCCAATTTTGTGGGGTTTACACAAAACCCCCCAGTGTGTGTGTTTCTTGGTTTCTTTTTAACTTTTTTAAAAAAGAGAAAGAGAGAGGGCACGAAATTGGGTAGGTGTGGAGGTGGGAAAGATTTTAGAAGAGCAGGGGGAGGAGGTAGAAAAAAAAAGTCAAGAGTTTGTTTTCCCTCCTATGAGGAAAAAGACTAGCCCTAAACTTCTGAACAAGAGGTGCTTACTATTAAAACAGTACCGCGTTGGTGCTGTGGCTTATGCCTGTAATTCTAGCACTCTGGATGCTGAGACGGGAAGAGTGATCATGAGTTTGGCAATACAATGGGTTCAAGGCTAGCCTGGGTACATATAGCAAAATTCTGTCCCAAACAAATACCCCCTCCTCTTAAAAAAAAAAAAAAGAAACTGAATATTGTAGCACCTTAATTTTACTCCGAAGATAAAATGAATAGTGGAATGAAGAAAAACTGGCAGTAGAAAAACCAGCTGTCCCAAGAATCCAGACTGGTCCATCAGGGCTTGACCTATGGCAGCGGCAGCTGTAAAGCGTGAATCAAAGAAGTTATGGAGGAAGTGCTGAAAGTATTTGCTGACAGACTGGACTCAGGGACGACGGAGTGAGAGGAGTTGAACGTTCTAAACCTGAGAACTGGTGTGTGTGTGTGTGTGTGTGTGTGTGTGTGTGTGTGTGTGTACTCACTCCAATAGCTCATAAACTAAAGTTAAAATGATGCAGAGAAGATTAGCATGGTCTATGCGCAAAAATGACATGCAAATTCGTGAATGTTCCTTATTTTTAAAACAAATAAAAGATGTTCATTAACAAAAGGGGGGAAGTGGAAGAGGAAGATAACTGTGAACAGGGAAAATCTAAGTGAGTCATGAAGCTACTGAAAGATGACATTTAAACCTGGTAGGCAGTTGGAAATGAGAGTGGGAGTTTGAACCAGGGCTCGATTCACGCTTGCAATGCAAGGACTCAGCGTGAAGCATGAGGATTGTGAGTTGGAGGTCAGCCTGGGGTACCTGGCATACAGAGTGAGTTCTAGGCTGACCTGAACTGCACAGTAATGTGCTATCTCAGCAGCAGCAACAAAGAATTTGAATGTGAGGTCCAAGAATTCGAGGCTTGGAGGTACAAGCCTGCAAAACCACTGTATCTTTAGACCTGGCAATAGAATGGAACATTTTACTGCTAAGATTAATATATGAAAATGTTCAGAAGGAAAAAACAAAAAAAACAAAAAAACGCCAGAAGGGGAGCTTGTGGCTGTTTCTTGGTTCATCTGAGCTGGTTTCACCAGAGTAAGAGAGGGATGGTGCTGTGTTGGTGGCTTAAACCAGCTTGATTTTTCTTTTTTTTTTTTCTTTTAAATTTAATGCAGTTATTATTGTCGTTGTTACGTGAGAGAGAACACACATACCATGGTGCTCATATCCTGTGCTCACACAGAATAACTGTGTGGCATCCGTTCTCTCCCTCTCCCTTCAGTTAGGTTCGGGGGCTAGGATCAGTGTATGAGACTTATAATACTGAGATCAAGGGCCTTTACCCTCTCACTGGCCCCAGCTACTTGTTTATTTTGAATCAGGGTCTCACCAAGCAGCTCAGGCTATCCCAGAACTCTGTGTGGACCGGATGACCTTGAACTTCCAAGTTCTGGGATTATAGGTATGTGCCACCATGCCCAGGATCCAGCTGGTTTTAATATAACCTAATGTACACAACTAAGGGATTCACTAGCTCAGGAAAGTGGAACAAAGGACAATGGAAACTCCTGAAGACATGCAAACTGAAGGTAACACAGAAACTAAGCAAGAGTGCTGGATTTATCACCCCTGTGCCACTTCTGTGGTCCAGCTAATAATTTTTTTTTCCTAAAGCAAGCTCCTACCTGCTGCCTGCTGTTTCAAAATTAGTAAGGCATTTAATGTCTGGTGGTAGTAGGTAGGCAACTGACCTAGCCTCAGGGACCTGACCATTAGGCTGCAATTTATCTCTGCAGGCAGGACAAAAATTCCCCATAACCCAGTAGTCATTTATGAAACATTAAAGCCAATCTTCACTTACACTTTGGCTGGCTGTTCTGGCCACGTGTTGACAGCTGAAACTGTTAATGTCACAATGACTATAAATAAGGTAGGAAGTGGCCTAGAGCAGTGTTCTCAACACACAGTCTCTAGGCCAGCAGCACCAACACCACCTGGGAATTTTTTAGAAGAGCAAAGTTTCAGGGCTTACATCAGACACGCTGGGTCAGAAGTCCTTGAGGGAGGGTTGAGTGTGTGCATTTTGCACGGTAAACTTGTATAACAATGACTGGAGGAATGAAACAATTCCTCGTAATTTCTCTACTATACACAGAAGAAAAGCAAACAGGGTGGGGAGACAGAATTCAAGACTGGTCACGTCTCGAGAGGCAGATTGCGTGTTCATGAAGGACGTTAGGGGATTCCTCTATTACCTCCTCATTGCACTGAGGTTGTACGTGACCTCAGAATTAACCAGCACGTTGGGCTGAGCCTGTAAGATGGCATGCCTCCGTGCGTCCTCACACAAGTATGCATGAAGTCTGCATTTTTATGATTCTGCTACATAAATAGGACCTAACAACCTCTCTCCCGTCTTCTGTGAACAAATAACAATGCTGAGCAAACTTGATTTGTTTGCTTTAGTGCCTGTACTCTTCTAAAGGGACGGGTTTCTTTAAAGATCCATTTACCACTTTTTCCATGAAGTCGGGGAGATATTAGTCGTCTCAGAGGAAAGGAAGTTCACGCTGGCTCCTCCTCAAGTCAGTGAGCTGGAGACCAGCCCTCGGTGAACGCTGAGCCTGCACATGCCCTCCCCACTGTCTGAGCGTTTGAGCACACACATGTGCATGAGTGCACGCACGTCCACCGAGCACACACACATGCGCGGGCGCGCGCACACACTCACACACGAATTCATGCACACTCACGAACAGGCTGTGGGCTGAGCACTAATGACACCGTCAGCAGCTCTGCTTTCTTTTCACCCCGGTTCCCCAAAGTCATCTTCAGAATCAGCACAGAAAATCCAGACGGAGAGAAAAAGACAAACCTCAAATCCAAAATAAATAAGATGACCCAGGAATCTGAGCAACATGCAAAATAAACAGCTGAACTAGAAGGAGTGGGCTCAGGCGGTCCAGGTCTCGAGGCAGCCTGTGCCTTGCCTTTCTCGGGGGAGAACGTCCCCTAGCTGTCATTTTCTTGTAATTGAGGAAGGCAAAATGCTGAAATACTGTTTCAAAGAGGAAGGGTCTAGCTGCTTACACTTGAGTTTGCTAGAAGGGGCAAACCCTGGATCTTTGATGCTCAGCTTGAATGATACTGAGGTGGGATTTTTATTACACGTTACTTAAAGCCTGTGGCCTTGGGCTATGCACATAGCTGTGCTGGCAGGGTGCTAACATGCAGAATGGCCTGGGCTGAATTCCCCAGCACCGAATAAACCAGACACGGTGGTTCGTGCCTAAAATCCTAGAACTTGGGATGTGGAGGAAGATCAGAGTTCAAGATCATCCTTGGCTACATAGACAGTTGGAGGCCTAGGCTGGAGATGCTCAAAACAACAACAAAACTATGGTCTAATCTAAATTCTGCTACTTGGCTTTATCAAATAAACTGTTTCTTCCAACATTAGCATTTACACTTAAACATTTTCAAAAATATTAATCAGAAAAGGGTTTTACACATTGGGCATGGTGGTTCACACCAACAGTCCCAGTATTTGAGACATAGGCAGGAGGACTGCCTTGAGTTTAAGGCTAGCCTGGGCAACATAGTGTGCTCCAGGTTGGCCTAGGGTACAGAGAGAGACTGTCTAAAAATGAAGAGATGAGGCAGGGGCCAGCTTGTCTTTGGTAACCAAGGTGCTTTGGTAAGCTGCGGTTGGTTTTCCTGTGCCATTTTTAGGGTCCAGGGTGCTCAGTGGACAAACGGGTCTCAGACCTCTTATCACTATGAAACTGTAGCCCATTCTCTCAAGGCTGAGACAAGCTGAGGGGCTGCTTGAGGCAGCTGAGTTGATGGGGCAGCTCTGTTCACCTGTACCGCATACCCTGGGCGTGGTGGGCCACGCCTGAGATCCCATCGCTGTGAAGGTGGAGGGCACAGGACCAGGAGCGAAAGGTCATTCTCAGTCTGGACTATGGGAGACCTGGTCTCAAGAAACAAACACACCACTCACAAGTTTAATGATTCCAGTTAGGTGCCTAAAACAATTGCTCAGCGACTTTCATTAGAAAAAGGAAGGAAGTGAAAGAGAAACATGAGAGAAGCTACTTTTTTTTTTTAAACACCCTCAAAAATATTTTACTTTTCCCAGAATGGAAAGGGGTTTTCCCCCATGGGCACTGTGTGCATTGCTGCTCTCTGTGTGCTCCGGTAAAACCCACTGTACAGCTTGTTTGGCACTTACTATAAACTCGGACAGCTTATCTCCCCTATAGATCTAGTATTATCTTAAGGTCTCAGTCAGCAAGCACCTTCAGGGCAGCAATGTTTGTTATCTTTGGCTCCTGGCATGGTGGGGGGCTCCATAGTGCAGCATTATTCCCTAAACTAGGGTCTGGGAATATTGAGCAACTGTATAATTGGAGACAATTGAATACTCTCGAGGACCAAACTCAGAATCAAAGGAACAGAATGAAATGGTGAAGGGTGAGGTTCCAAAGTTTGCAGACATGAGGGTGGATGGGAAATTTGAGTGAAAAATGAAATCTCTAGCTTCTTCCCTGCTGTTTATTCCTGGTCCCACTCCCCACATTCTTCCTTCCCAGCACCAGCCAGGTGCAAAAAAAAAAAAAAAAAAAAAAAAAAAAAGTTATTGCTCCAGTGCGTAAAGCTTGAAAGTCAGTCATTTGGAGAAGGTTCCATTATATGTTCCTGCATGTCCTGGGTCTTGGTGCTGTGCACAGAATACCACGGCTGCAATGCCATGGTGGAGGCCAATCTGGATGCCTGGCTCCTGAGCAAGAGAGATGAAAGGCTTCTTCTAATGTAATAAAGGACGGCCTCTCGGTGCCGTTTGAACTGTTTACAGACTGAGTTAACGATTACAGGCAGTGTGTATCTTGGCCAGGTGCCTGAAATTCTTACCCACCCGTCAGATATTATCAAAGAGCCCTTCCATGCCTGGCTGGAGTCCTTCCAAAGCACCTCACAGGGATGCCGACACAAAAGGAGTGTTCAGAATCTCTCTCTCTCTCCATCTCACTCTCTCCCTCCCACCTACCCACCCTTTCTCCCTTCCTCCTTCTTCCCTTCGACTCCCCTCCCTTTCCTTCCTTCCCTCTCTCCTGGACCAGAGCAAAACAGTAAAAACTCAGGCTTGAATTAGATGCTGAAGACACTGAATATTCAGGACTGCTTTGGACAGAGAAGAGGGTAAAGGTCAGTTCTGGAGCTAGGAGGCTCAGATTGCTTTTCAAGCAGTTTAGGAGGAACAGGTAAGAAGAGTCTTTGCCACTGGCAGCCAGAGGATGGTAGGATAGAGAACCAAAAACCTTGACATGAAAAAAAAAAAAAATCAGAACTACGTGATATGGCAAACAGTCCCCAAGCAAAAGACCTGGAGGAACTGACCACATATGGCACACTGGACAGCGAATGCAAAGGGCAATGTACAAACTGTAAGAAAGTGCAGCGCAGCTCAGCTACCTATAACCCTAGCACTGTGGAGATGAGGCGGCATGACTGCTGCAGGTTCATAGCCGGCCGGGGCTACACAGTAGCATACCTGGGCTACACAGGCAAGATCCCAGCTCAAA